TCACCAACATTCACCTACATGGGTCGGCTCCTACATCATGTTCCACTACGTCCGCGGCATTCCCTTTGAGTTCAACGGCGGAGCCTTCGACAACCTCAACATGTGGGAGCAGATCGACGATGGCGCCCAGTACACTCCCGCCAAGAAGTTTCTTCTCAGCGTTCCCATCATGCTCTTCCTGCTGAGCACCCACTACACACACTATGATCTCGCATACTTTATCATTAATTTCATGGCCCTCTTGGCGGTTGTTATTCCGAAGCTCCCCTTTGTGCGTTCCCCCCTATGCCTATCGCTGCTGCTGCTGCCGTGGCGCTCGCCCAAACCCAATGCTAACAGACCGCAGAGCCACCGCATGCGCGTCGGCCTCTTTCAGAGCAGCACGCCCGACGAGTAGCTTATACTCTCGATCCATCACTCCGATCCGACAATCGGGCTTCGGGGGGGGGCCAGGGCGATCCAGGGTGCATAGGGCGGTTTGGCGGCGTTCTGCGGGGACGATCACTTGTATTTGTTTTGACACCACAGCGAGACGGTTGGGATTGGCAAGAAAAAGAAACAGGAGCACCAGGTACATACAACAGCGAGCATGCGTTCGAGACGACTGGAAATATCCGACCGAGCGTTTGCGTTGCAGGTGGAGCAGTAGCTTTCAGGCATGGTAATCGAATATCAACGAGGGCTTGCGCTTCTCAGATCAACTTCAGGCCCCGGGTTCCCGTTTGCTCTCGCCATCTGTTCCATCTACCTTTGGTGCGGCATGCGCAACGCAATTGATCTTGATTCGACAGCAACCTAAACAACTGGTGGGCTCGGGTCGGTCCGCCACTGCGGCGTCCGATGCTTCGAATAGTTCTCCCCCGAGGATGGTCTGCCATTGGTAAGCGACACGTTGGCAATTCGGAAAGCATTAGACTGAGTTTGGCCGCTAGTATATCGTTCATCCGGGGCGGTTGCCGCTGCGAAGAAGGGCCCCCTTTTTTCCCTTCAGCGTGCTGCTTCAGCCATCAGAGCGTCGTGTATTCATGATTATTGAAGAGCACTTGTGGTGGCGGCGGGGCTTGACAGCCAGGAAGCTTATTCAACATGGCGATTCTTTATGAGTCTCCTCGGCAAGATGGTAGCAACCTCCAAGTTGCATGTCTGGCGCTTGTGGCGGCCTTTGCAGAAAATGATACTACCTTTTGGCTGTTACAGATTTCGCGTCATCAAAAGAGTATCAGCATGCTCCCAGCAAGACGGATGCTGAGGGTCGGAAGAAGCCCCCGCTCGACACTCTCTTCGTAAGCAAGCCTCTATTCTTTCGTGGTGGTCTTCCGCGAAGTCTGGCGAGCGAACACCGCGGCTAAGGTCTAGCCATGCCGCCGACTCGACAGTTTTGATCCGACTGTTGCTCGATCCGATCATGTTTCTTCGAATCGAGACTTGTCAGCGCTCGAGTTATAAAGGGGTCGAGTACCATGTCCCATCTTACTTCTCAGACTCACAGCTTCACACTCGTCGTCCACTAGCCCATCATCCTCCCTCTTCGGTTCAAGTCAGCTCACCTAGTCAATCGCTTCCCTCCCACAATAGTTCGACACCATGAAGGCCCCTTCGACCGTCCTGGCGGTCCTCCTCGGACTTGCCCAGGTATCCGCCGCCGCTGTGGCCGCCGTTCCTGGCAACACGGATGTCGCCAAGGCTGCCACCGATGCCGTGAACGAGCTTCCTCCCCCGGCCAACAAGGCTTTCGTGCCTGAGGCTGGGACGGACGAGAAGGACGAGGAGGCCGGCGCCGGTGCCGTCCGCATGCGCGACTGCCGCTCCGACTTCTGCCGTGACCACAGGGGCCACCGCAGCTGCGGGCACTGCTCCAAGGAGGTCGTCATCGAGGAGGAGGGCCGCAAGTTCCCTCATCACCACGGCCACCACTGGCCTTCTCACCGGGACTGCCACAGCGACTACTGCCGCGACCACCACGAGCGCGACGGCTGCAGACACTGCGAGGTCCACCACCACCACCATGGCCACCACGGCCACCACGGCAACCACACGACGACTCGGAAGGACTGCGAGTCGCCCGAGTGCAAGGGCCACTACTACCGCAAGGGCTGCGGCCACTGCCACAAGAGCCAGACGGGCCACCGCGAGTTCCGCGAGTACTACCACCGCAAGCACTTTCGCAACAAGTGCGATCCCGAGGTCTGCAAGAAGGACAAGAAGCACGAGGCCTGCAAGTCGTGCAAGGTCGAGCCCAAGAAGAAGGCCGACCCGCCCAAGTGCAACGAGGTCGTCTGCTTCCTCGCCGACAAGGGCAAGAAGACGACGACGACCATTCCTTCCAAGCCCACGCAGGTCCCTGTCCCGAACTGCCCGGCTTGCCCTCCTCAGGTGACCTACGTGCCTGTCGTGCCGGTGCCTGCTCCGGCTCCTGCTCCTGCTCCCGCCCCGGCCCCGGCCCCGGCCCCGGCCCCGGCCCCGGCCCCGGCCCCTGCTCCCGCTCCTAAGCCTGCTCCCGCTCCTAAGCCTGCTCCCGCTCCCGCCCCGGCTCCTGCTCCCGCCCCAGCTCCCGCCCCAGCTCCCGCCCCAGCTCCCGCCCCGGCCCCGGCTCCTGAGCCCGCTCCCGCTCCCGCTCCTGCTCCTGAGCCCGCTCCTAAGCCCGCTCCGGCTCCCAAGCCCGTTCCCGTTCCGGCCCCCGAGCCCTCGAAGCCCTCCGTTGTTGATACCAGCGCTGGCTCCCGCGTGAAGGTCGCTTCGGGCCTCATCGGCTTCGTTGCCGCTGCCCTCGTCGCCTACTTCTAAGCGATGGACACCATCAGTTGAAACTCGAGAATAATAGTCGCAACGGGCCACTGAAGACGACGCAGGGACAGCTTCGAGGCAGTTCCAGTTCATTTCCCTCGCCCATGCTTTTAATTCGATTGGCCCTGGAGGATGTTTTGCTCTTGTTCACAAAAGGAAAAATTAAAACGAATATGGTCATGGTGATCCATGGGGGAGCAGCCGGGAGTGCAATAATAGACAGACAGCCTGGATCGCTCGTTACGCTGGCTGGAGTGGAGGTTGTGCCTAGACAAGTACGAATTAACATCATCATGCCGTTTCAGAAATTCGAGGGCCAATACGGCACCAGCTTGTGAGCATGTTCATGATGTTGGATTGAATGGGCGAGCTTGACTATTATGGATTTGAATACTGACAACCGGGTAGCCAAGGCACAGTATCAGTGGATAATGAAATATCCCCGAGCCGAGCCGCCGCCCGGCCATGACGAGCTGAGCCGGCAGATTACGCAAGTCCGGCCACTGTATCCGGAGAAGGCGGGGTTGCAGCTGATTGACGTCTTTGTCTGCGATGTTCCCCGATCATCGGCCCTAGACTATGCGCACCCATCACGACCATCTATCGTCTCTCCTGCTTGACCTTACCACGACCCCTCTGCTGCTTTAATTTGGACCCTGAAACTCACAAAACACACGACCAGCCAACTACGTAAACTACACTAGACCAGCAAGACAAGTTCAGGACCAGAATAGCCATCATGAAGTCTGACGCCCCTGTCCTATACCCAAACGAGCACGTCTCAGCCGCAGTGACCTCATACTCGTCCACCCACTCGACCCCTCTCCCGAAGCACATCACCGACTACCACGCCCACATCATCGCGACGCAGCCAGAGACGTCCAACTACATGATCAGTGACTTCCAGGCCCAGAACCACATCTGGCTGGCCAAGCTCATCGGCGCCAAGCGAGGTAACCAACTTTCTTTGACTCCCTCACGCCTGCGCCCGCCCTTGAACATGTCACATCGCTGACAGACGCAATGCCGGGCTAGTCCTCGAAGTCGGCGTCTACGTCGGCTACTCCGCCCTCGTCTGGTCGCACGCCGTCGGGCCCGAAGGCCACGTGACGGGCCTCGAGTTCAACCAGGCCTACGCCGACCAAGCCGTCGCCGCCTTCGCCGCCAACGGCGTCACAAACGTCGACCTCGGCGTCGGCGACGCCCTGTCCACGCTCCCCGCCCTCCGACCCAGCGAGCCGTACGACCTCATCTTCATCGACGCCCAAAAGTCCGGCTACCCGGACTACCTCGACGCCATCCTCGCCGGGTCGCCTGCCAGCGGCGGCGCGCGGCTGCTGCGCCCCGGCGGCCTCATCGTCGCCGACAATGTCCTGCGCAGGGGCATCATCGCCGACGACAGCGACGAGAACCCCTGGGTCGTGCGCGAGAAGAAGGAGAGGTCCGAGTATTGGCGGTCGAGCGACGTCGACGATCTCAGACGGTACAATGACAAGGTGCATGGCGATCCGAGGCTCGATGCGTGGTTGATGCCGCTCTTTGACGGCGTCAATCTGGCGAGGCTTGTCGACTAAGTTGTTCGCTGTGTGTCTTTCGTGGCTTGGCGCGTGTTTCGTTCTATCTTGGTCGCAATGTAGGAGGGAGGTTCTTCACTCGACTTGACTGTGAGATCGCGTCCAAGGTAGCTAGCTCATGGCGCGCGCTTGTTGGAGGCAGTCTCACCTTCGCGTTGTTGCATCCGACTGAATCTGCCTCGTCGGCCAAGTACCGGCAAGTGTTTATGCCCGCTGTACGTGAACATGAAGTACAACCTCTTTCTTGCACAGGCCTGTTGATAATTCTGAGACTGGTCCCGAACACACCAGGTTGTCGTGGCCCTCTCATATCCTCACTGCAACAAGGCAACCACTCGCCGCATCTGCCTTGCAAGTACCACATCCTGCCCTTAGCTCCCGCCTCGAAACGAAGCTTCTGCTCCTGAACAAAGACTGCCGAGTATCGCGCTTCGGCCCGGACAGCGGGCCCGTTCAGCGGGCCTTGAACAATCGACATGTGCGGTGCCTTTGGGGCTTCCGGGCTGGAGCTTGGATAGGCACAAACAGCGTCCATGTGCCGGCAGACCCACGCGTAGAGACTCCCTCTAGGTCGATGCCTGTCAACGCGCTGTACGGGTACACTTTGTAGATGGTCCATTAAGGACCCAATATCAGGCATTTCCTCTGAATTTCTCTTTAAATCCTTAGAAGGTGAAGAGTCTTGACGAAACCTTCGTTCTAAAGGCCTGCTTCTCCTTGTCAGTACAGCAACACTTCTGTTGAACCATTGTCGAGTTTCCTCTGCCTCCAGAACGTTTCGGCCGCGAGGGTTTGCAACGAAGATTTCCCTCGACTTGGCAGACAAAAGTCGTCCAAGGCCTTCGCCCGCCTGCGCATCTTCATACAAGACCAGCTAACCTCCAAGAGGGTGACACAAGAAAACCGGGCTCACCTTCGAAACGAAGCCTCCAGCACGTGTTTCAGCCCCACAACTCGCACCATGTGCGAGGCAGAGAATCTCTACTTCGTCACATGCGGCTGCTGGTCTGGCCAAGCGGTCCTCTACCAGTGTGTCAAAGGCGACCTAGCAGGTAGCATCAACTGTCCCGACCTATGCGCGTCCGGTGTGCAACGACACCCCGGTCTCTGTCTCTGCTGTCGCCGTCGGGCCGCCCAGAGGGAGGAGATGAATACATACATGCCGCTGACTATCGCTGACAGCGAGGCCTCGCATGAGATGCCGGGAGCAGCATACCTGGCGGGCCTCATCCGACGAGTAAAGGCTGAAAGGGCCGCGTTGCGACAGGTACAGTGCGATCATCAGCTCGTGGATAGGTATAGAGGAAGTTGGAGCAATTACTCTCCTCCTTCGGCGGTCAGATCCCGGAAAGCCGGCATGTTTGCCGACCAGGCGCGGCATGTCGACAAGATGCCGCTGTCGTTTACTGACTGAAACTGGACCTTTCGAGCCAGTAGCTCAAGCAACGGCGCCTCGTCTCCCCAACAAGAGACTCCTGGGCTGGCGGGTCTCTTGAGCGGCCATAGTCTGGCCAGTAATGTCGGAAGTACGGCTTCAAAGTCCTCGATCAACACAAGTGTGCCGCCACCAGACCGGCGGAAAAGTTTGCAAAGATGAAGCGAGGCCTGATGCTGGAGCATTGGAGCATGACGAATGCGACCACACCGAGGAGCTGGAAGTGATAGGTTCTCTTCTATCGCCGTCAGGCCAGTGACGGAAGGTCACCAGTGATACAGCCTCACGACGAAGGCTAGGCCTCGTCCATTGGACTCCATGCCATGACGGCCCCGTCGCTTTTCTTCTCAGGTCTCTTACATGCAAGGAGCCATGGTGCATCGACATGTAAGTTTTCCCAAGCATATACGAGCTCAAGCACGCCTCAACAGCCTCCCAAGTCGTCTGCGAGGCAAGATGCATGCACTCTTGTTGTCAACAGGTTTGTAAACAGTGCCAGCCGGGTAGACAAAGGCGAGTAGGAGCACCAGCTGCGCTGTCTATGCAAATAGTAGCCAAGTACGTGGCATAATGGAAAATCTCGCACAGCTGCCAGGTCTACAGTACTGGCCATCGCTCGAGAAATAGGCGCCTTCCATACACACCACAGTCTATCCTCGAATGGTTGATATCAGTGGCAGTCGTGACGGGGCTCCAAAGGTGATGCTGGATGTTGCCGGCCCAGATCGTACGCGTCCCTGTCTAAGGCAGGGCAGCAGCCTTGCAATCCACTGCATTCGACGATTTTGTGCAACTGGGAATACTTGTACAATCAGAGGGGTCAGAGACGAGCACTCCTGGTTGTAGTGGTAGTAAAAGGAGCGAGACGGTCTGGGACAGTTTGTTTTCACAGGTGGCAGAAGCAGGCAGTACATTAGATTAATGTATTCACAAGGGCCAATATATGAATTGTTCGCTGGGACCCAAATGTGTGCTTTGGGGTCCTGGAGCAGTTGTCAAACACCAATCTCGAATGAACATGCGTGGTGGCCTGCTACGTTGACCCAAACTGTGCGACGGCACCTCGTCGGCCAATTGGCAAAATCTGTGCGACTGTCTGATCAGGCGGGGACAAAGCAAATCAAGATCGCCCCATCGCACGAAAATCTTCAGCATGGGCGTCGAAGCGCCCATCGTGAGGCTGGAACAGTGACTGGCAATGAGACTTGATGACTGTGCGTTGTGTCACATCGTGAGTCTCTAGGGGGAACTAGCTGTTGCTGCTAATAGTGCAACAGCGTGGTTTAGGTATCCAGAAGATTAAGTGCGATCAACTCACGCACCCCGAACTAACATGTAGTGCAAGGGTGCCATTTAATGCGCCAAGCTGCTTGCTCTGCCAAGGGCGAGTATCGTGGAGCTCTCGCGGGTCGCATCATTTATTTGATGCGCTATCCAGGCTGTTCAAACTTGATCGTCTCAACGGTGGCACTGGCAATCGTTGAGTTGCAGGGGGGAAAGGAGCCAACAAGCAGTCTGGCTTGAAGACATGAGTGGGCTGTCCAGGGGCACGCAACGGCCCGGGCTGATCGTGACATGCCTGATCTTGCGCAAACGATGGACGGATTTCGTCCGTGGCCGGTGCGTTCAATCGCACGCAACGAGGCTTCATGGGGGACCGAAAGCCCAAGATCGATTTCGTGTTCGAGACGAGTTGCAAGGAGGCCCTTGGATTTACGAACGGGCTGACCCAAATTCGAGAGCCAGAGTGACACCCTTGTCTTGTGCCTACATGTATGCCAGCCTTTGTGCCGACTTGTCGCTGACTCGTGGGTAGCTATCGGCAGCTGTACCCCTTATCACTGGTCCTGATCTTGTCGGATCGCAAATGAACCGTTATTTGGTAGACCCTAACCATGCTTGAAGCTATCGATTTCGGAGGGGCTGAGTGCTTGCTTTGGCAACCTGGAGGGTCCGCTGGCAAAGTCCATCTAACGCACTGGCCGATGTTTCCGAGCTGGTGCCGCCGTCACCTGCATGTCTTGCTGATCTGATACTGTTGAAGAGTACAGGCTCATCAAGCACCCGGTCCTCTCTCGAACGCTCAGTGGGAAAAGCAATGCCTTGTGGTTTAAAACATAAATAGTGGGTAGGCCTGAAGGTAGCGTTCGTCAGGATGGCAGCTGACATGGGATGAAAGACATAAACCGGAGGGATGGCGGCTCCTAGCGCAGTGCAAGCTCGGATACCAGTGGATAGACCCAACCAGCTGAGGGCTCCTCTTTGCCTGGCCGAGTAAGTCAAGCCGCCAATAGCCCGGGACATCACAACCTGGATTCACATTCGAGCGAAGACTCGGGCGCTGTTTTGGCTGGTGATTTTTTGGGGGGAGGTGATTGTGGTGATTGGCGGACATACTGCAGATGAGGTGTCGCTCAGACACCACTCCGATTTGTGAATGGAGTTTATCAGACACAAGCTGATCACCTCGGAGAATCTTTGGTACCTGGAAGCCGTGCCACAACGAGTCCATGGACAGCCAGTCCTGGTGGCTCGTTGCGATGCCTGCGGAATGAGGATAACCAATACGGTGGTGGTGATGAAGGTTGTTGTGCACAGAATCATTTCTCCCCGGTTCGCGTTTAGTCTCTCAAGCGATGAGGCGCCTAAAGTCAGCACGGCGTACATGTAGCTCAAAAGGCGAAAAGTGATCGTTTCGATTTGTGATGAGCTTCCCTCTGGGACATGTACATGTATAGACAGACCCGTGGATATGACCAAAAAGTCAATTCGGTGGTGTGTTGGTTTGTCTGTGCGGAATGGAGTTGGCGTGACAGGCCGACCTGGGGCGCGCCATCTGGTTGGACGCCAGCTGGAGACGAGCTCCCCAGATTGGGAATGGCTCTGGAATGGTTCACACGCTCTCGGACGGTGGCAGACCGTCTTCAGCAGCGATCTTTAAGTTGCCTGCTTCCAGGTAGCTCCGAACGAGGTCTGCTGGGCTCGTTCGCCGCGTTGGCGTACCTTATCCGGGCAGGGTTACTCTTGTTACTTTGTTGTCAAGGTTGTCCATGAAGGAACCGCCTCGTTTCCCCTTTGTCTTGTTGCTATAGTAGCTGGCCGCTCGTCGGATAGACCGCACGTGTTTGACTCTGTTGACCGGGTTATGTGTGTCGGTTGCAATGGAATCGTGCCTTGCATCGGGACGCATGTAATAATACATGTAAGGGGATAATGGAGAAGCGGAGGCGAGGGCACGGCACCATGCCAGGTCGACCTTCATTGGGTGCTGCGCCGATACCAGGAAGGCAAGGAGAGGTACATGTAGAGAGAGAGAGTTTGTAGGGAGAAAGAGTGCCGAAAGCTGGACCCCTCCTGCCCTCCAGTCGCAGCTGTCGTTGTTTGCGAAACAGCTGCGACAGCATATCCATCCCGGCAGCCAGCAGCAGGTCACCAGTCTGGAAAGGCAGGAGGTACATGTACCAGCCCCCAGCAGCCAAGCCTTGACCCTGAAGCGAGGCCAGTGACATGTGCCGATTCGTCCAAACCTATGCCGGTCTGCCAGTTGGCCAGTTCCCAATCGAAGCACCAAGCACCAAGCACCAAGCACCAAGCACCAAGCACCAAGCACCAAGCACCAAGCACCAAGCAGGGCAAGCACCGGCAGTCGGTCACGTTTGCTTCGCCGCTTCTTATTCTGTTGACTCTGGGGTTCATGACCTACCTACTTGTACAGTACCTGCACTACCTCTGTCCATCCCTCACCGCATTATAATGCACCTGCGCCCGTCGTTCCCTACCAAGCCTGGCTCCAACACCATTGGAGCCAAATGTCCGCATCCCCCGGCGAACACTTTCAACAGTTGCTACATGTAGGTTCTGACCGAATCTATTGGGAACTCGCGCAGGCATCATCTCGTCTGAGGATCAGACCATGCATGCCCCAGGAGGAGGAGGAGACTCTCAACCCATGCGAAACAGCAACGGCGATGAATGGGGTCCACAGCCAGAGGAACGATGCGGGCACGCGTTCGGCCATGACTGCCAGGCTTGCCATGCGAGACTGGAAGGGACGTCGTGGTGGGGGCTGGGGAGGGGCGACCCAAGGGAAGGAAGCTTGGGAAGTCAGGAATGCCCGGACATTTTTACTCAATCACAGCAGAACTCGAAAGGCCCCCTGCCCACCCGCAAAGACAGCCCCGGTCCCTTCCCCCGTCTTGGTTAAGACGAGCTTGGAAGGGGGCTCTGGCGTCCAGACAGTGGGGACGCCTCCGTGATCCACACAGCCTTGGGTTGCACTATTGCACCCATCTAACCTCCCCTTGATCCCCCTTCCACCCATTGTGCCTCCTTTACCTCACAGGTCGGCAGGCCTGTACATGGTAGGTGGGAAGGTACAGTACAGTACACCTGTACCTGGCGCACCTGGCGCACTTATTGTATCCATGTGCACCTGCACCTGCACCTGCACCTGCACCTGGCTCTGTTAGTGCACATATCGACTAGGGTGGGTAATATGAAATGGTCCCCTGTACTAACCCGACTTGCTCATGCCGCCGGCCTCGGTGTGTCTTGGAGAAACTTTGCTCCCAAGCTTCGTTCTTTTTGTTCTCTCGCCGTCTTCCATCGATGGTAGGCAAAGGGCACAGGTAGATAGGTAGGTACTTGTAGATGGTGGATGGCATGGAATCAGGCACTCGACCGGCTTTGTGCAAGCTGACGCCAGTACCTTATTGAGAGCTAGCTCGTTGCTGTCGCTGTCCTTGTTCGCCCACGGCCTGCCCTTGTCCAAGCACATCGCCGGATGTGCAAGTGGCTTCAGCGATCTGGATCCTCAAGCGTCCTCGCTCCGATTTCCCACTTGTTCACCATCCGCCCATCTATCCTTACCTACCTACCTTAGGTAGGTACAGGTACACATCCACATCCCATCCACTCCCACACCGGCCCATCCCCATCCCCAAACCCACACCTGTTTCCCCTTTCTCCTCCACTCCTCCAAAACCCTTCCCTCCTGATCTGCCCTTTTGCCCTCCAGCCATCCAGCCATCAAGCCATCCAGCCACACGCACTCTGCTCGCCTCCGACATTTTGGTTCCCCTCTCCGACGGAGGACAAACCGGCCGGCTGCCAACTCTTCCTTTTCGTCCCGTACGTCCACGGGTATTCCGCGACCCAACTGCTCGGCTTCTTGATACTTGCTTTTCTCCATCAGGCTGGTTCTCCAATGCGACATCACAGGTACGAAACTTTGAGCCTCATCGCCCCCTCGCCCGCGTGCTTGACTATCACCGTCTGCCCACCTTCAGAGCTTCAGAGCTTCAGAGCTTCAGAGCTTCAGAGCTTCAGAGCTTCAGAGCTTCAGAGCTTCAGAGCTTCAGAGCTTCAGAGCTGGAAGGCAATTCCTGCCATTCGAGCATTGCCCGCACCCCAGCGTCCTCAGGCACCGTGGCAGACCATCGCCGTCACCGATCATCCCTCTCATGGGGGTCGCACAAGACATTGCCCCGGTCCTGCAAGACGTGATGGGCCGCGCATGATTTTCCATCCTCGCTGCTTGCCTGCCTGCCTCATCCAACCTCGTTACATCAGCCCTCCCCCTCCCCCGTTTCAGCTCTCAAGGCTATCAACACGTTCCCTGCATGGCCAGACTGACAGACTGCCTGCCCGCCTGCCCTTCGCTTGCTCGCTCCCGCTAATGCTGGCGAACCGCAGCTTCCCGTCCCCCTCTTCCAGCCGGCCTTCCACGTAGCCAATTCTTTAATATACGCAAACGGCGCAAAGCGACAAACCCTCGCCCTCCTGATAGGGCCAAGCCCGACTGACGTGCCTTCTGTCGCCAACCGACGCCCCATCATTCCATCGATCCAATCTGTCGTCGCACCACTCCAAGGAGCGATTAGCGTCCGCATATCATCCTGGTCGACCATACATAGGAGTAGTGACGCCCACCATGGCGGCCTCTTCCACCACCGACTCGACGCTGTCGAGACCCTCTTCCATCGCTCCTCCAGCGTCTCGCCGTCTTCCCAGGTCGCGCAGCGAGAGCTTCTCAAGCGATCGCCCCTCTACCATCATGGGCCATAGCCTCATGTCCCCTCCTTTGTCCGTGTCGCCAGAGGCTGCCTTCATCGCTGCCTCGGCCGCCTCTCAAATCGTGACGAATGACCATGACAGCCACGCCGACACCTGGTACGATCAGCATGGCATCGAGCCTGCCGGCGAGACAGCATTGGTCTCGCCAGGCGCACTCAAGCTCGTCAACAGCTTTCTTGACCAGCTCCTTTTCAACTTCCTTCAGGTCTCCCGAGCCACCACCTTGACAGCCCTTCGCCCTGCCGTGTCTGAAGTCTTGAAGCCCAAGCTTGCAAAAGACGCCATCAACAACGCCGACGAAGAGCTGCGAGAATATCTTGGGGGAGCCGACGAGGATGAGTTTGCAGCGCCGCGAGGCACAGACTCGCTTCGGGATTGGGATGTCGAACTGGTATGGAAACGGACTCGTCTGAGATGCATGGTATACTCATCACTGGGTGACATGGAAGAGGAGGACGAGGACTTTTACACAGAACAAGAGAACCTCGAGCCCGGTGCCGAGGAGCAAGGCTCCGAAATCATTTCGCCCGCCGTCGCCATCTTCCTGACGTCGGTTCTCGAGTTCATGGGCGAGGCGGCACTCGTGCTAGCGGGCCAGGCCGCTTACAACCGTATGCGCACCAATTTTGAGAGGTCTCTGAAAGATGGGTCCAAGAGCCACAACGACATTGCCGATCGAATCGTGGTCGAGGAACTCGACATGGAACGTGTGGCTTTGGACAGGACACTCGGTCGCCTGTGGAGGGCTTGGAAGAAGAGAATTCGTTCTCCCATTCCAGACACCCCTCGGCGCTTTTCGCAGAGTTCCAGGGGCCACTTCCGACAGGGAAGCAGCCCTAGTGAGACGGCACGTGCTCTAGACAGGACGGAAGAGACGGAGTCCGGGTTCAAGGAGAAGGCACTGGAGGAGAAAGAACCGGCAATGGACCGGGTCGAAGAATTTGTCAAGGCGTCCGCCATACCCCTACCGGTTGGCGACCATGACGTTGACGAGATTGAGGTACCTGGCCTCATTTCGTACAGTGACGACGAAGGCGATGGAGACGAAGAAGACGATGACAAGGAGCGCCGCGCGCCCCGTCCGAGGAGCATGATGATTTTCTCGCAGATCTTCACCAATGCACTCCCCAGCCCAACCTGGTCTCAACCTCGGACACCACTGAGCCCTATCCCCTCGAGCCGCAAGAGGTCAAATTCGCTGCCTACGCCGGCACCATCGCCTTATGACTCGCCTGCTGCCAAGCGCCCCAAGGTCGAGGCTATTCCCAGTAAACTTGCCGACGAAGTGGACGTCGACTCCGACAAAGCAATTTCCACCGAAACCATCACAGAGGCGGTCGAGTCAACAGAGGGACCCGCACTTGCCACTCAGCCGCTCACTGAGCCGCTCACTGAGGATTCACCTGTATCTCCAAGCATTTCTGATGACTCGGCCGAAGCCACTGCGAAGCAGCAAAACGAACAGGTGAGCACATCGGAAGCGGTTCAAGAGTCCATCTCGGTGGACCAGGAACAAGCCCCCCCAGAATTTGGGCGGAGGAGCTCCAAGCGCATGTCTCGCATCATCGGCAGTGCCGCCGTTGCCAGCACTGCTGTTGCTGCCGCTGCCGCTGCCACGGCCGCTGCTACTGCGGGTGCTACTGAAGAGAAGCCTCTGCAACAACAACAGTCACCCAAGGCCCAGGACACGTCTGACGGTGAAATCGACGAGGTGGAGGATTTTACCGAAGAACCGCAAATACTTACCTCAGCGCGAGTGTCCTTTGCTGGCCGCAGCTCTCCCTCCGTTTCTGACTCCAGCAAAGTGCCGTCTATCAATACCAACATTCCTCAGAGGACCCCGAGTGTGCACTCGGCCCGTGTCATAGACGTCGTAGGCCCAAAAAGCCCCATCGGTCGCTCGAGAACGCCTTCGGCTGAAGGATCTGAGCGGATAAGGCCGACAAGCTTATCGCGAAGGAGCAGCGTACACACACCTCCTGTTGTTGAAGAAAAGCCAAGGCCGGCTCCGATCGACACGCTTATGCGCAACGCCGGCCCTGCGCCAGGAGCCCGGTCACCAGCTGAGAGGCTCACGCGGAGACAAGGCACGAACCTCTCAATTTCCGAGGCTGAGGAGGAGCCTGATTACGTACCAAATCGCGATGGGACACCGATGACTCTGGCATCGAGGTATGCACCTCAGACACCGGATGAGCTCCAGACCCAGTTTGAGGAATCAGACCAGCCCATTTTTGGGTCTGCAGTTCGACAGCCGGGGTCTCCTCGGCAAGAACACCGTCCTGCGACAACCAAAGTCACGATCCTGACCACAACGGATTCGTCAAATGCCTTTGGAACCTACAAAGCGTCATCCCCACCTCGCAAATCGCCTGGCCTGCCACGTAGCCAGACGGACCGAAGCCGTGAGGAGCCATACTCTGCATCACACGGGCACACGACCAGTATTGGTGTCGTGTCAGTCGAGCGCCAATCTCTTGGCCGCGAATCGCCTGAGCGTGCGCGACAGATACACACCTCTGGCTCGTCAGGCTCGTCCAACGCTGGCAAGATCAGGCCACTGAGGACTTCGGAAGAGAGTAAAGGATCGCCGCGCGTCGAAAACGTCGCCCGCAACTTCGAGGAGCTCATACAGAGCGACCAGACCATACAGTACACGCTGACGCCAGAGAACATGCGCGATGTCAAGGTAAGTCCCGGGCTCTCCTCAACATGCAGCACTGTCATACTGATGTGAAGCAGCCGTCCCGGTCAGCTCAGAATAGCCCAGTTGCGGGTCCTAAGTCGAGAAGAAGCGAAGACGTGCGCGTAGCTGACCGCGAGCGATCTCAGCCCAGCTCCAATACGGCTGTCAAGCGGTCGGGGTCTACAAGTCTTGCCACCGGATTGAACTCTCACCCTGTAAGCGAGCTCAAGCCCAACGCCAAACCCACTGGTTACATCCCCAGAGCGCCTCCAAACGCCAATACCAATCGGTCCAAGTCTGGCGGCCCTCAAGCCAGGGATGCTCGTGTCCCACGCGAGTCCATGATCGACTTTGCCGAATTCATCCGCAGTACTGGCCCCACGGGCGAGAACGGCCCTGCCCCCCTTCGCAACGGAAATGGACAAGTACCATCAGTCAAGAACAGCATCGACAGTAGACGGGTGTCGTCGAATAGCAACCGGCCCCGTCTCCAAGCTCGCGATGCTGCTGTGGACAGCCGGGAGGACAATTCTGATCTCATTGACTTCATCCGCCGGGGTCCCCCCAGCTCGCACAACAATCCTCGCATCCCACGCCATGTGGCTCCCTTCCGCAGTACCATGGACTCCGACCAGATGACAGGCGCCATCGGCGGCAAGGCCATCGACGCCAGTTTGCCCAATATCCGATATAGCCAAGCCTCGACAAACGTGACTGATGTCACGATGCCTTCGGTTCAGTCATCTGTCAACTCTCAAAGTGCACTTATCAAAAACAACAGGCAGAATGATGTCATTGACGAAGAGGAATTTATGCCCAAGCGCACCCAGCGGCGTGTCAAGGATCCCTACGCCATTGACTTTAGCGATGAAGAGATGAGGACGACCTCGATGGACCGCCGAAGCCGCCCCAGAAGCAGGAGGAAAGCTTGGCGGACTTCTTGAGAAACTACCAGCCACCCCCCGAACCAGTTGTTCAGACACCGCTCGCAAATAGGCCAAAGAAGAAGGCCAGCGCGCCGAGTCTCATTGGTCGCTTTACGCGTGGTATCAACCACGGTTCTCAGTCTCAAGCTGCGACTAACGGCGGAGCCCAGACAAGCTTGGCGGAGCCGAGGTCATCCAGCAGCCGACAGGTTGGTGGTGCCCTCGGCCATACTCCCATCCAGGTCAGCATGCCGCCGGGTTACGACCAGTACGGACCCATCGACGGCACTCGTCGGCTTGCCACTCAGTCCAGCGGGCGCGTGCCGATGAAGAAGTACGAACCGCGCGAGGCATCGTCCGTGGTGACCCGCACTAGCGATTTGGCCAGCTTCCTGCGGGACTCGGAGCCGCCGCCGCATTCAAATCCTCCGAGTCTCTACTCCACCCAAGAGCAATCGTCCTCGGGCAGTGGCTTCTCCAAGATGTTCGGTCGTCGCAAGAAGTCCAGCATGGCTTGATCTACTTTCGCATGGAACGGTCCCCAAACGGTTTCCGCTTCACGCGATGACGATGCCTTTTATCTCCCCATAGACGAATCACGTAAATTCCGCTCGCTATATCAACCCATACCTTATCTGAAAGGCCCTTCTACTGCACATATCTTGTTCATTTACTTTTTGGATACCAGAGATATCCGCCATTTCTTCCTCTTCATAGATGAAGGACACACACACACTCTTCGTTCGCATAATCATGCCACCTGCACTCACGCATTGTACCCCTATCACGAATCCTCGATACCACCGGACGCAAGGACATTTCCTGTTTATTTTTTGATTGATTGGAAATCGGAGGGAGGGGCCGTCGTAGCTGTGGCAGTTGTACGCGTCATGGTCAATAGTAGACCTTGTCGGAAATTCCTCTCTGCTTGCAGGAGGTACAGCCAACCGGCTCCTAAATACAAACTTTCATTAAAAGTCGCGATTGGCTGAATTGAGCTTGTGTTTGCCGTCGTGTGAACAATTGTTGATATGCTTTCTGATAGGCTTTGGCGTTGCTTGGATGACTGGAACGTAGACAAGACTGCTGTGTTTGGTCACCAAGTCGCCGGATCAATTGACCTGACGGTCCCGCGCTTCTTGATCTGCTAGCTGCATAACCTCGGTGCACTATCAATCTGAGCCCTGTAAACGACGAGGCATTTCACGGGGCCACATGTCGTGCAAGTCAAGGTACCTTAGGTGGTAGGAGGTATTGAGGTACTCGAGGCCTATCCACAGAAAGAAAAGCCTAGGCCGTTGTGTGCCACCGTTCTCACAACGCCCCTCCTACCATTTTCGTGCCTATTCTCTCCCGTGCCCTTGGTCCCTGAATTTCTATCGTCACATCTCCACAAGGACAACTGGCTGTTCTCAAGTTTCGCTCTCGAGAGTTTCCGCACCCCAATGTGCCATGTTGCTCGACTGGTGTGAGCTCACGTCAGATATGAGCCGTCGCCAGCAAGACTAGAACCAGTCTGTTCACCAGTCGTTACCACCTCCACCACCAGTGGCAGTCTGCCACATTGGAGCTTGATCGGCACTAGCCTTTTCGTCAAACCCGCCAGAGCCGCCAAAGTCGTTGGAAGCGGGCAGGTCGCCACCGCCGCCGCCGGCATCGTGGCCCTGGGCGTCCTCATCGACATGGGGGTTGGTGCAATTGTACTTTTTGTGGCCCATCTCACCGCAGTTCAGGCACTTGACGCGAGAGACTGACTGGTCAGCAAAGGAGCAAATAAAAGGAACCGAGTTTTTAGACTTACTGTCCTGAGGCTTGGGGCACTCGCGGCCTGTATGGCCATACTCGTCGCAGTTGCGGCACTGCATGCGGCGGGGCTCAGGGCATTCCTTGGCATGTGTCCCTCCTGATCGCAGTTGCGGCAAGTACGACTGCCGCCTTGAGGACAATCACGCGAGAAGTGGCCCACTGCGATATCGGTCAGAATTTAAACGGCATACGATATAGGAAGAGGTAGGAGGAACTTACTCTCATGGCACTTGTTGCATTCAACGCCGTCAGCATTGCGAGGCTCAGTGCAGTCAGCTGCTTTGTGGCCAGGCTGGTTGCAGTTCTTGCAAGCGAACTTGTCTTTACGAGGGACCGGACCTGCGATGATGTAAGGGGATAATTGTTCATGGGTTGGAAAGAGAACTTACAGTCTCGGACGCGATGACCGCCTTCATCACAGTTGTAGCAGCGAATGCTGACTTTTTCGATTTCCTGTCGGTCAGCCGTGCAATTCTTTGAGATGTGGCCCAGCTCCTTGCAGTTGGTGCAACGAGGCTTGCCAGTAGGGGCGGGTTCGCCGGCGTTGGCGAGGCGCTCCAGGTTTTCCTCCTTATCCTTGGGCCAGGTCTCACGCTCGCGCTCGCGCTCAGGCTTGGGCGAGAAGCGGAAAGAGACAGTGTACTCCTTTCCGAGGTTGCCCTGGAGGTCCATGTTGGTCATGGTGTCGAGGAGATGCTCGCGCTTGGTGGCGATGCAGTAGACATTCATGTCCTGGGCGCGGAACGCTTCCTCGAGATCCAAGTAAGTGGTTTCAGGGTGATGCTTCATGTACTTGCGGAGCTCTTCCTTGAAATCGAACACGTCGCGCTCTTCAACTGCATCTTGCATGGCCGTCCAGGCCTCATCAGAGGTGACATCCTCGACGCCACTGTAGTCGATCTTGCGAGGATTGTTGCACTCGGACACGAGGTGACCTAGAACGAACCAACGTGTCAAAGCAGGAAACCCGGTTAGTGGCGAGAGAGACTAACCTTCCTGCTGGCAGTTGCGGCAGACCTCTGCGGGCTTGTTTGGGCAATCACGTCGCATGTGTCCCTCCTCGTGGCAGAAGTTGCAAACCATAGGAGGAAGAGAGGGACATTCGCGGCGCATATGACCGGGTTCACCACAGTTGTTGCAAGTACGGTCACCGCCATCACCGCCATCACCGCCATCACCACCACCATGACCGCCATGCCGGGCAGCCGCGTCGCCCATGTCATCAGCAGGACCAGGAGCACCGTTGCCCCACTCGTCGTTGGAAGCCATCTTGACAGGAGTGTTGTGAAGATAAGGGGATGCAGGCAGGTAATCGAAGTCGGTTGACTTGTAGGACTTGACGGAGCTGATACTGTCGAAGGACTTTACAGAGGCGATGGAGACTGATTGTTGCCGGTCAGCACGTATTCTGATGCGAAGAACTCAGGCAAGGAGCAGAAAGATGCAAGAGGCAAAACAAAGACCAAGACAGCACTATTTGTAGGTAGGAGAAAATGAGAGGCAAGAGCAGTTTAGCCGCGATTTTCCAATGAGGAAAGAACAGCCCGAGGGTGCCTGCAAAATGCCACAAAGGAAGATGTAGTCGAGAACAGGGAAGGAGATGCGGTAGGCCGCCCATGGGTAACGACGATGTGCTTACCCTTGTCCCAATCGTCGTCGTCTTGATAGAAGTCGGAAAGCTCGTAGCCTGTTTCAACAGCGTGAGTCAGCGACCTTGAGTTTCGACCGTGAGGCTTCTTCTGGCCCGGAAATTCGGGTATCCAGTCCCCTATGTGGGAAGCCAATGCCAGCTTTGCGACGGCAAAAGCCATGGTTTGTAGATCTGTAACGAGGAGCCTCGCGTCTCTTCGGCAAAGCAATAATGAAGCGAACAAGATAGTCGTTTTCCGAAGCGAGTTCGAGTTTGGGGGGTAGAATTGGTGGTAATGAAGGCAGAGAAATCGAGCAGTTGGTGTACAGCCGCTGCCGGGAAAGCAAGAAGGAAAGGGTCGTTTGGTTGCGTTGAATGTGCGGGCCGGGCGAGACGCGCCGCCTGCGCAAGAAGGCCAAACATTGACTCAAGGGGACTTACGGGCTATGCAGCGCAAGGGCCTACCAGTAGGTATGTTATCGGACTGCTGGCGATGGGATGATGGACAACACGATCTGTGGAGGCAAGTCGAGTTGCTGCCAGATATCGAGACGGGGAGTTGAAGAAGTAGAGAACGGAGGATCTAAATTTTAAGCAGGAAAGAATATAACGTGTTCAAGCTTTATAGATATCTCAGGCAACGATATTTCAAGGCCGCCCCATGGGGAATCAGCCCGCTGCCTTGACGGCTGTGGTACTGCAGTCACGACGCGTCGTGAGTGAGGGCATCGTGGCCTGACTAGGCACACACAAAAATCGTCGAAGACAGAAAAGAGAAAGCCCAGTCTAAATGCTGTTTTTGGGATCCTAACTTGTCCAAATTAACAATAAATACTGCTATAGCTAATGCATATTCACCAGAGCTCTTTGCGAGCCGCAGTCCACTGTGCAGCGCATGTATGTTTGTCTGCCAACACGACAATCATCTCAACATGGTCCTCATACCAGACCAGGACCACCTCTAGTATTTGATCATGAGCAACAAAGAGGCCAAAGCAGATGCTCAATGTGGAAAGTTGGCGAAAGGGGACGCTGGTGCGCAAGCTTCACGGCTTCTTCACGAACGAGCGTGAGATGCTACAGGTTTTCCTATAGGCAATCTAGCATGAAATACTTCACAGACTTAAGTAGGTTGCTTTGTGCAGTGCTTCAGGCCTGCTTTCCATCGCAGCATGATAGCTGCTATCAGGAATACCGGTAGGAGGAGGCCTGGGGGAGGGCACCATGAAGCAATACTCATCAGAGACCAATCGACGGGCTGGTGCCACAACCAAAAGCCGTGCAAGATTGACAAGATGTGTATGTGTGACACGAGCAAAGAAGAGACAACACTCAATAGATTGATGTCAGATGGACAGGTCGTTATCCCCTGTGAACACCTTCAGGAGGCATGTCGTTGGCTGGTTAGTCAGCGCCTGCCCCTCCCCCTCCCCCTCGGTGAGGTGACGGAAAACAGCGAGGGTGGGGGGCATCTTGCGGAAACAAGGCCCCCCCCCCCCCCCTCATCAACAGGAACAGACAACAGCACCAGAGTCTGCATCAGCACTCCTCCACCCGAATCAAATCCCTGCTCTTTGGCCATCCTTACCCCGGGAGATTTTAATCATGACGACCTCGACCATCACAGAAGCCTGAGAGATTGCTACGCTCATCCGAGCGACCGCACACTTTGGTCCGCGTCGTGGGTGCCCTGCTTCAGACCACCAATGGCCCGGTAGGGAAACTCGGCGGAAAGCTCCTCGAGCTGTTTGCCTAGGTCATTACAGCACGTTGACATGTCCATACTCAGCAATCACTTCCCTCGTCCTGCTGCAGCTCTAGTGGGGGTCCTACCACGACACCACACCCGACTCGGCTCGCCGATCCCTGGTGATGCGGCCATGGATGCTGCTGCTGCTCCATGTACTTACCCGTCGGTCGGCTGAGATGGCGACACCTGCATGGACTGCCTTCAAGTATATAATCAGTGACGTTTCCTCAATGATGGCCTCTCGTCCCTGCTCCCCCATTCCGCACGACTCGCCCAAATTATTCAGACCCCGCCTCCCCCCCTCATAGAAGCAGACCACAGGCCCCCCTCCCCTGCACGCACGATCACACAATGTCGAAGCCTGACGATCTTCCCGCCATGGAGTACCGCTTCCTGGGCCGCTCTGGTCTCCAGGTTAGCGCCATCAGTCTGGGTGGATGTGAGTCACGCCGAATCTCTAGACGCGTTATTCGGGGCCATGCTGATTCCGGGACGTAGGGTTGACCTACGGTGGCCATGTTGACAAGGGTGAGTGATTGATCTCGGCAGACAGCCTGCCCGCTCGACTCGACGTTGCCTGATGCTCGTTGCTGACGTGTTTCCGTGCAGAGGGCACCTTCAAGTGCATGAAGGCCGCCTATGACTGCGGTGTCAACTTTTTCGACACGGCCGAGGGCTATGCCGAGGGCGAGAGCGAGAAGGTCATGGGCGAGGCCATCAAGAAGTACGGCTGGAAGAGGAACGACCTTGTCATTTCTACCAAGATCTACTGGGGTGGTGCGTTTGGCGACAATGTCGTGAACAACAAGGGCCTCTCCCGCAAGCACATTATCGAGGGTCTCGACGCCTCTCTGGCGAGGCTCGACCTTCCCTACGTCGACCTCGTCTACGCCCACCGGTGAGTCTCCCCCTTCCAGCATCCTCCTCTGCACAGATCCGTCTACGCCCGCAATCATCTGATCAATCGTACTGACCAAGTTGCAGTCCCGACCGTCACACACCCATGGAGGAGACGGTGCGCGCCTTCAACCACGTCATCAACGAAGGCAAGGCCCTCTACTGGGGCACCTCGGAGTGGTCGGCCGACGAGATCGCCCAGGCCTGGCGCTACGCCGACAAGCTCAACCTCATCGGCCCCGTCATGGAGCAGCCGGCCTACAACGCGCTCGACCGCAAAAAGGTCGAGCTCGACTTTGTGCACCTCTACCGCGAGGTCGGCCTCGGCCTCACCGTCTTCTCCCCGATGCGCCAGGGCATCCTCTCGGGCAAGTACAAGAACGGCATCCCCGACGACTCGCGCTTCGCGCAAAAGGACGTCGGCTTCATCGGCGACTACTGGAAAAAGGAGAACGCAAAGGCCGAGTTCCAGGCCCTCGTCGACAAGGCCAACGGGCTCGCGCCCATTGCCGAGCGCCTCGGCATCAAGCAGGGCACCCTCGCCCTCGCCTGGGTGCTCAAGAACCCCAACGTCAGCTCGGCCATTATTGGCGCCAGCAGCGCCGAGCAGGTCTACGAGAACATTCGCGCCATCAGCGCGCAAGAGAAGCTGACGCCCGAGGTCCTGGAGGAGATTGAGAAGGTGCTGCAGAACAAGCCAGCCGCCATCACGCCTCGGTTCTGATCTCTCCCGGCTTTGGAGGTGCGGGGTAGCAGCAAAGGAGAGAAGGGGCGGTTGAATACAAAACAGCATCAAAAGCCAATCACTTTCACTTCACCTTTTTCTTCAGTCTTGCTCGGTCGTCATTTCCCGCCTTTTTTTTTTCCATGCCTGTGTCATTTGTGCTGGTGATCAGTGGCCCCTGGCTTTCGATCTCGTCAGGTTGATGGCGTTCTTGTAGTAACCCGCCGTGCCTCCGTACTTGTCGACAATCTGCCTGGCATTAATTTCCGCCGCCGGCGTCGTCCTCGTTCGTCCCAAGAGGGCCGTGTTCCTCGTGCTCGGGATCCGCAGCATCTCCGTCTCGACCTGCCAGCCACAGTCCTCGGCAATCCGCGACACCCAGTCGACGAGCGACGAAAAGGCCGACGCCGACTTTGTCTTGTCGCGCGGCGGCGCGGCGCGGTACTTTGCGCCGCCGAGGTCGTGGCTGCAGCACGGTATGGCGATAAAGGGCGACGCTGACAGGGTGGCGAGGATGGGCGTCCAGGGCGTCAGCTCGTCGGCGTGGTTCGAGATGATGAAGGTGCCCTTGGGGAAGGTGCCGTCGTGGAGGAGCGCACGGTCCTCCTCTGCGACGATGCCGTCGTCGCCGTCGTCGTCAGTGGGGGCCGCGAGGTCGGGCAGCAGCACGAGCCTCTTGAGGACGTCAGCCGGCGGCGCGTCGGCGTCAGCGTCGGCCATGGCGGTCGTGGGCTTGCCGTAGGTGGCCCACGACTTGCGCTCCCGCGCGTCGAACCCCCAGCCGGCGTAGCCCTCGAGCAGGAGAATGTGCACGAGCAGGCCGTTGCCGCAGCCAATGTCGACAAAGCCGGGGAAGGGCTGGTCCCGGTACATGTCGGCCCACAGCTCGATGAGGAAGGCGGCGATGCCGAGGTCCTCAAAGACGTGCTTCAGGGGGTCGGTCACCTCGGCCCAGGTGCTCACGAGACGGGCGGCGTGCTTGAGCTTGAGGGCGGAGTAGCGGTCCTGGAAGCGTGCCTGGGGGATGACGACGTCGTGGTGGACCTTCTTCACGTAGCCGGCAGCCTGTCCCTGGCCGTGCTTGTGGAGGACGGAAAGAAGCATGCGGGCCGTGCGCTTCAGCTTCTCGGGGTCCGTCTCCGGGTCGATGCCGTGCTCACCGGGTGGGAAGTGCCAGTAGTGGATAGAGATGGTACCGCGGGCTTCGTCGGCGTCCCACTCGTGGAGCTGGGCGATGCCGCGGACCTTGGGATGGTAGAAGGGCATGTCGTCGGCGGAGGACTCGTGCGGGAGGTACAGGACGACGGTGCGGGTCTTGGGACCGTCGACCTGCTGAAGAAAGAGGCATGTCTGGTCGAGAGGATTGTCGCGGCGGGGGTTCCTTGGCACGAGGCGGCGGACGAGGGCGCGTTCTGTGTGGTAGCCGCTGAGGTGTACGATTTGAGGTTGGTGCTCTGCTCCCGGGACTGCATCATCACCCGTGTCGTGCAGGATGTCTGCACGGAATAGCCATTTCGTGTTGACATTGGGGTTCTTGATCATGTTCATCATGACCTCGTTGAAGAAGTCTGTGTTGAAGGAGCAGTCATGCTGGTAGACGGGCTCCCAGGAGGCACCCGACTCGTCTTCGAAGAGGGATTCTGTACCGGCGGTGGCATAGTCATCCGGTTCGAAGACGGGCATGATTCGAAGCAGGGTGTGCCTGAAGTTGGTGAGATAGGACTCGGGACGCACAACCAAATGCCATGGACATCATGCTGGGTATTGTGCCTTGTCGTGGGAAGGCGGCGTGTGCAAGTAAGTCTTGGTGGGGTGGAATACAGATAACAGATAAGGGAGGAGAATTGCACAAATGCACAAATGCACAAAATTGTGCCTTGCACAGGCGGAGCTTGCGCGACGTGTCGAGCTAACCGCGTCGGGTTAGGGTAGATGGGTACTTAGTACTTCTGCGTTGTTCGCCATTTGTTTACTTTCAGGTGGGGCCGCCCTAGCAACGAGCCCAAGGAGGTGGCCTCGTCCAAAATACACAGGTACACGCACACACCATGGACCAACAAGACAGCCTGCCTCTCTACCTAGCGATCCAATTGTACATTATGCATGCCCTTGACCGAGACACCCCTGATACCAACATTGTCGACGAATGCGCCCACCTCCACTCGGCCACAAAGTCATCTACAGCATCATCTATGCCCGTGGTTCCATGATCACACCTCTCCAGCAACACCACTCACCCCCCCCTCTTCGACAGCAGGCATCATGGCCGACAAAGACACCGACAATGACAATCTGCGGACAGCATCTCTGTACATCAACAACCAGCTGCTCTCCCGCGGTCTCTTGAGCGATGGCCACAGCATCGACTTTGCCCGCCCTGAGCGGAATCCAGGTGGCGTTGACGCCACCATGGGAAGGGTCATGAGCATCATCAACGACCTTATTCTGCGACGCGACGTAAGCTCCTCGTCCCCTTCCACCATCTTTCCCACGTTGTGGGTAGAGTCCCCCAAAACCTAACCCTCGATGCTCAGCGCGACGCCCAAAACCGCGAGGCCCTCTCGACGACCCTCCGCACCCTCCGCGCCGAGAACCTCAAGGCAACAAACGACGTCAGCCGCCTCACGGAGAAGCACGCAGACGCCAGGCGCAAGCTCGAAATCGCCGAGGCCTCTGAAACAGCAGCCCGCACCCAGCTCAAGAGCGCCGACGCCGCCGTCCGCGGCCTCAAGGAGGAAATGGCCCGCGCCAAGGTCCTCGTCGCCCAGACGCGCGCCTCCTGTGCGACCGAGGTGCGGCGACGCGACCGCCAGATCGACGGCCTCAAGAAGCAGCTCGGCGATGCCGGGCGCGCGCGCGGCAGCGGCAAGAGCTCCGTCGTGACCGTCATCAGCGTTGTGGGCGATGTCGGCGCCGAGGAGAGGCCGCGCGCTGGTGCCACGCCGGGGGCTGCCGACCTGCGCAGCGAGACGAACCAGTTCCTCACCGAGCTGGCGAGGAACCTGAGTGAAGAGAACACGGCTTTGCTCGCCGTCGTGCGCCGGACGCTGGGCAAGCTCAAGGATATGAGCGGCTGGGACAAGGGCGCGAGCCAGGGCGACGGCCACGCGGTCGCGCTGCAGACCAACTGCGACGAGATGGAGAGGGAGCTCGAGGCCATTCTGGAACACCTCCAGACCATTCTCACGAACCCTTCCTTTGTCCCGATCGAAGAGGTCGAGTCACGCGAGGAGGAGATCAACAGGCTGAAGGAGGGGTGGGTCAAGATGGAGAGTCGCTGGCAGGAAGCCGTCCACCTCATGAACGGTTGGCGCAAGCGGCTCGTCGCCAACGGCAGGGGCGTCAACATGGAGGAACTCGACATGGGCCTTCGCCTGAGTCCCATTAGGGTACGGCAGACACGCGACTACAAGCCTGAGCCCGAGTCTGAGCCGGTGGCCGACTCTCATCTTTCCTTCATTCAAGAAGAATGCACCCAGGATCTGGACGCCCTGCGTTCGTCGCCAGGACCAGAACAGGTGGTGGAAGAGGAGTCGCTCGACCTGGCACCGGCGCACGAGTACGACGTCGAAGTTCAGGACGAGCATGACTATGCATCCGAGTCGAGCATTTTCGAAGACGAGATTGATGATGTCGACGTCGATGTTTCCGAGCCCAATATTGAGATCCTGCAGCAGTCGACCGCCTTCCTCAGCTCCTCGCCTCTGCCACCACGACCACAGTTGAGTCCACTCAAGGAGACGAACACGGCTGGCAATCGCGGCGCACACGAAGCCAAGTTCAGCCACGAGAAGCACAGCGATTACTCGATCAAGGTCGAAGAGAAGGCGTGGGACCTAGGTGACGACTCGAACGTGCCCGAACCATCATCCCATCGCTTCCGCCTGCCACGCTCGCCCCTCAAGGCCATGCGCGCCGTCACACCCGAAATCGAGGAGAAGCCTCGAACGGCATCGGCCGCTTCTGACGCGTCCATGGACGAGCTTGCCCTCGACCAGCCGCCTTCGGCCCCGCCCTCGCCCTCGCCCCTCCCCAGGGAGCGCACCCGCGACCTGCGCAAGCCTCCCAAGGTGGTGGTCCAGAATAAACCCGACACGAAGGCGGAACCCCCCGCCAAACCCGCCCCCTCTCGCACGAATGGCAGGCGCCGCGTCGTCTCCGACAAGAGCGTCGACGAGAACCTCCCGCCCGCCCCATCTTTCTTTTTAATTGCGCGTTTACCTTTACACATCTCTCCCTCTAACGTCTCCTCGCTCCGATAGCTCTACTTCTGAGAGTGATTATTCTTCAGAAGATTCTAATTCAGATGTCGACCATGATGATCATGATTCTCATGATGATTCTTTAGCTACTGACCCTGAAGTACACTCAAGTCTAGATAGCGATGAGCAAGTTCAGAGTAGTGGATCCGAGGGGGAGCAGACTTCACACAGTGAGTCATACATTGAAGGTATACATGAGGTTTGTGATTTTGAGGTTGAGAAACATCAGGTGACAAACTTGCAACTGAAGATAAGCT